ATTTTACATCGATTTCTTGCAATAATAAATAGCCGTTTGTTCTCAAGAGAGTTGTTCTTTTAAAAAAGATGAAAAAAATGATTACGATTGGATATAGCAGCCACACAAGAAGGAGAAAACCATGGAGTAGAATGAGGCTTGACTTGAAACCGATGAGAAGGAATAAAAGCTTCCATTCCAGCCTGAATCCAGGAGGTTACGTAGGAAGCGCATTTGTCAGCTGAGAGAGAAAAAACATCAGCCCAAGGACCATCACGAAGAAAATCACGAAAAGAATCCCAGTCAGCTTTAGGGTAGTAGTAGGTGGTGCGATGATAAGATGAGCCCAAAAAAAAAAAGAAAGATTTATAGAGATCATTGCATGGTCAGAACCACCTAAGGGAGAAACGGGAGAAACTGAACATAAGCTAGGGTCAGAGACAAGACATAAGTCAAGGAGTGAAGGTAAATGATTAGGGTTGTCAGGAAAACCAGTCACAAAGTTAACTATCTGAGTAAGACATTGAGAAACGCAGAAGTTAAAGGCTTTAATGCCAGCAGGATCAGTGGTGTTAGAGCCAAGCCATTCAGTGTGATGGGCATTAAAATCACCACCAACAACAAAATTGGCAGAGGGGTGAATTTTGCAGGAGGTAAGACCGCGAATATTTGTAAAAGATATATTAAAACATTTAGATTGTGGGGATTGTTTTTTAGGTTTAAAATTTTTGGTTACTTTGGTCATGATTTGGGTTTAATGAGAACTTGACTCATAGATAGAGCACAGCCTCCTAATCAATGAGCTATGCAGTTGTCTCAGTCCTGGTAATTAACCCTAAGCCGTGACATAGGGCTCCTTATGTGGCCTTGACAATGCACACCAAAAGCATTAACAGGGACACCATCCATGCGCAACATGGCACTGTTAATACTCTGATATTTTGCAGCTGTTGATGGAATCAGCCTCTCTGAGAGCTACCACAGAGTTCGGGAAACCTTACTACCAGCTGGCCTCAGAACCATTAAACTGAGTTTTAGAGCTGTACCCTCATATGGAGAAAACAGGAAGAGTTGCATAGCCATTATCAAGGAGGCATAAGCAAAATTCTATGAGTAGAGTCAAGGAAATCCAGCATTCATCATCCTAGGCAAGAAACAATGTAACACAGGTTACATCTACGTCAGCCTAATAGACAAAGAAGGGGTTCGAGGCTGGTTAGCAGAATTTTTCTGCTTACCCCTAAAGTCTTTGTCTAGGTTTAATTGAAGTATAGTTAATTCTAGTTTTAATTCAAATTAAAATTGGTTTATAAGAAGTTAAACTAATAACAAATTTGAGTTGAAAGCATTCCAATCTAATAGAGGAAATAACTGTAAATATGATCGTAAAATAACTAAATATCAACCTAGACACAATTTCCTATTCAACAGAATTGCTCCTACTTAAAATATATTAAATAACAATATAATATTTTTAGAATCATTGGATGTTTAATTATTAAAACTTGATAAGAGTAAAGAATGTTGTCTCAGTGGGTTCAATTCCACTCGCTGGTTTAAAACCAGTCACAGCTTATCACTACTGTTACTACTACTACTACGGCAAAATGAAATTGGACAAAATTAATAACATTCTTAGAAATAAATTAAATTTACAATAGTGGAAAAATACCACTAATATAATAAGTTGATTAATTTAATTGAAAAAGAAAATTTTGTATAATTATTTAATTTGATATTAATGATTTTTTGCTATCAATAACTGATATTTTCGATAAATCAATCAAATTAGCAAAAATCCAAATAGCTATTCCAGAAGCTACAATTGGTATAATAAAAAATTGTAGAAACTTTACTTTATTTTAATTTGGAAACTTGAATAAATAAAAAAATATGTGACTGCTTTGATGTAACAATGAGCAGTTATAATGGAACAGAAATTTGTGAATTTGTTGGAATATATATTATAGATTTATTAAGTAAAATTATCAATAATAATGAATTAGGTCTTTATTGTTAGTTGTTAATAGTAAAGCATAAAAAATCTGGTCAGCTTGGTAAAATTAAAAAAATATAATAAAATTTTTTAAAATAATGGCTTTCAAATTAAAATAAGCATAAATTTAAAAATTGTGAATTTTCTTGATGTCACCTTTAACCTCTCTAAAAATTCATATAAGCCTTTCAAAAAACCAATTGAAAAATTATTTTATATTATTATTAACTCAAACCACGCACTCAAATTCTAAAATAAATCCCAATATCAATTAATAATAGGCTAAACCAAAACACCTCTGATGAAAATGTATTCAATTCATCCTGAAGGTAATTACAAAGATGCCTTTAAAAAAAAGTGGATTTCAAAATTTTGAAATAAAATTTGATCCAGAAAAAAAGATTGCAAAAAAGCGAAACAGAACTAGAAACATAACTTGGTTCAATCCCACCCTTCTATATAACAAAAAATTTTCCATTAACATAGGAAAAGTGTTTTTAAAATTGGTCAAAAAACACTTCCCGCCCTCTAATAAATTACATAAAATTCTTAATTGAAATACAATTAATGTTAGCTCCAGTTGCACAAAAAGTATAGAAAGAATTATATAATAGTTCACAACAATGCTTTATTAAACAAAATATAAATTTTTAACAATTAGTAGATTTTCTACTACTTTTTATTCTTATATTTTTTTTATACTTATATATACATACAGAGGCGATTTTACTGGTGTGTGTTTTTTAACTGTGAATTGTTTGTAAATTATGTTAATGTATTCTACAAATTGAGCGTTGGATGTTTTTAAAGAACAGAGAATTAATAAATTTATATGTATAAATGTATATAAATTGTTCATATTTGGCTTTTGCCACTCTCTGTACAAACTTTCCTTAATTTTAAGATCTTTTTAGTAACAGTTCAACCTAGAATTAAAAAGCATGTTTATTCATTACTAAATTTAAAAAAGCATGTTTCATTGGAGTAAAGGACTTATATTCTGCACAAACAAATTTGTATTAACAAGACTTCTCGCCACTTTAAAACTTGAATATTTAAACACTATAAAAGTAGTAAATTATGGGAGTCCCGGCAACAGCCACAGCTAAAAATGGAACTTTTTACAAAAGCCACCTCTGGTAGAATAATAAGATTTAGCAGGAGTTGATAACCAAGGCTAGGAAAAAACTTGAAAATTGTTCAAAATTATAAACTTATACATACATTGACAGTATAAACTTATACTGCATAAATTTATAAATTACTATAAGTTTATGCAGAAAAGTGAGAGGGTTGTTATTTGTCAATAAACAAATGTCAACAGTATTGCGATAGTTGTTTCCAGTAAATAGTTTTGTTGGAGTTAAAATCCATAAGCCACTGCATCAGATTAAAGATCAGGTTATAGATGCAAAGTTCAAAGTTCAAAAAAAAAATGTTCAAAGAGATCAAAAAGTGAAGATTTTTTAAAGACAAGAGTATCAAGTTGAGTTGTCAACAAATAGATTGTCTAGAATATTGTAATTGAAGATAAAGAAACAATACAGGAGCAAGGATAGAGCCTTGGGGTATTCCTAAAGTTACTGAAAATTAATAAAAGAATTTACTTTAGTATTGGAATTTGGAGTGATTTGGAAGTCCTATTCCATACTGCAGTAGTTTGTTTTACAATGAGTTAATCTGTTTAACTAGAATGTCATGAATGACCATTACATTCAAAAGTCAAATTAAAGGAAAGTTTTTTTGCAAATAACTCTGCCTTATTCTAGGGACAAGTAATAGGATCAGACTCATTAATTAGAAATGTAATGTCAGACTTACTTTAGTTAATGACACACTTAAAGATTTTCCAAAAGTCTCCAGAACCTAATATCTGAGATAACATTTAGTAAACTGAGAATATAGGAGCTTAGCATCAGACAGAACTCTTCTACATTAATTTCTTCTAATAACAAAAAGACATTTGTTCTCAAAAGAGATGTTCTTGTAAAAAAGGTACAAAAAAGATGATTATGGTTTATAGTAACTGCACAAAAAGATAAAAAAAATAAAAACCATGTGAAGTGAAGAATAAAGCTTGATTTAAAACCAAAGAGAAGGAAAAAAAACTTCCATACCTTGACTCCAGGAGGTTAGATAAGAGTTGCATTTATGCATACATAAATGGATATATATGGATATAAACATATGTTTGTCCTTTATTTAGATGCTGGCTTTCAATATCTTTACATATTTGTATAAACTTTAATATTTATAAGGTGTAGTATTTGCTAAAAGAGAAGATGATTATCAGATCGATGTGTTGTATCACTCTAATAAGACATGAAAAAGAGCCACAATTTTAGACAGAGATTAGAAAAAAAGGTTGTATCAAACAATGTTTGTCAGAGAAGATTAGAGTGGTTTTTGTATCAGCATGTGAAGAGGTAGCAACCTTAGGAGAAAATAGTAGAGGCAGAAGTAAAAATATCTTGAAGAGATTACATTACATATGGTATAAACAAGCTTTAGTTAAGGAAAGAAAATACATGAAATTTTTTATATTAAAGAAAAATCATACAAGGGGAAGGTTAAAACTAGATGATGATGATGATGATGATGATCATCATCATCATCATCATCATCATCATCATCATGATATATGAATATACATCATCATTTATATATGAATATACATGCATATATATATAAAGTATGACATGAATTGTGAATTTGAAAAAATACTTTAGGATGCATCAATGTTTATGCAGCCCTGGTCACAAACCCAGCTCCAGTCACTTACTATATAGAAGGGATAAAATCACCCATATACTTTAACATCTTCATTCCTATCATTTTATTGATAGGAGCGCAAAGATTTTTGTAACTTGAAACTGACGATGATTAGTATATATGGATCGAAGCTGGCACATAGTTAAGAAATATAATATTTTTGAAACTGGCACATAATTAGGAAAACCTATTTTATACAATATAATATTTAGTTACACAACAGAAAGTTAATGTAAACAGTAATTAATATTACCTGCTTTTGCACCAGCTTTTGCACCTAAAATTGCACCAATTTTTTCAGGATTACTTTCTAAACTTGATTGCTCTTCGTCATGTTGATCTAAGGTACGTTTTCCGGCTTTTTGGCTCAAAAAACTCATAAATTGTCTCTTGTTATTATTTAAAGCTGAGTTCAGCGCTTCTTTTGGATTAGGAGTGAATTCTTTCCCGCCCTTTATTGACTCAGCAATTTTTTTCCCTACATCATAAGCTGCGCCCACGGCTGCTTCAATGGCAGCTGACATAGCTTGTGCCAATGTCTGCTTTTCATTTGGAAAAGTATCATCACTAATGTCACTGCTTGCACCCATATTTGATTGATCGTCAAGTGCATTTTGTGGAAAGATTAAGTTTGAGTTTGGAGGGGGTGTTGGATTTGGGTTTAAAGGAGAACTTTTAGGATTTTTAGAAGAATTTGGATTAGGGTTTTTAGAAGAACTTGGATTAGAGTTTGCAGAAGAACTTGGTAAACTGTTTTGAGGAGAATTTGGATAAGAGTTTGGAGGATAGTTTTGATTAGAGTTTATGGAATTAGGGTTAAGGTTTGTATTAGAGCTTGGATTATTGTTTATAGGAGAGATAGGTTCAGGGTATGTAGAAGAACCTGGATTAGGGTATGTAGGAAAACTTTGATCGGAGCTTATAGGAGAGTTTGGATTAGCATTAGGTGGAAAGCTTGGATTGGCATTCGGAGGAAAGCTTGGATTGGCATTCGGAGGAAAGCTTGGATTGGCATTCGGAGGAAAGCTCGGATTGGCATTCGGAGGAAAGCTCGGATTAGCACTTGGAGGATAGCTTGGATTAGCACTTAAAGAAGCGCTTGGATTAGCATTTGAAGAAGAGCTTGGATTAGCATTTGAAGGAGAGCTTGGAACACCATTGTTAATCAAACCATCTAAGTTCATACAGGTTTCTTTAGAATCAAAGTTACCTTTAAGAACATTTTCTTTGTACTGCCCTAAAACATTTCCAGCAAGCTTATATCTTCCAACCACATAAGTACAAATCATTCCCCCTTTATTCAATACCGATTTACCAATACCTAGCTGAGTGCTTGTTTTCCATACAACCTATATATGCAATAAAAAAATAAAATATGCAATAACAACCTATATATGCAATAACAAATCAATATTAAAATAATTAATTGAATACATTTATATTTAAAACTTAATTTATTTATTAGATATATACTTTTTGTAATTATAGATTTATTACGAATTTTTTATTAAACTTTGACTAATTAACAAAACATAATAGAAAAAAAAAACACACTTAACTCCACCGATCTAACAATGCATAGTTGCAATGGAGCAAAAATTTATGTAAGATAATATATTTATAATTTACAAAATCAATATAATTTATACGTCTTTAGTAAGGTTTAATAGTTTAAAATAAAAGAAGATAATGATTGCAAAACCAATGAATTAAATTTAAAATTTTCTGTTTAAAAATTACTTTTTCAAACTCTGTGTATTATTGAAAAATAAAATAAATTAAAAGGAAATTTCGAAAGTTTTTATAAGTTAAAACTACTTAAACATTTTAAATAGACAAACTACGTGATTATGAAAGCAGTTATTCTATTGATTGCTAAAAGTAAATTAAATTTAAATATGTAAAAAATGAAAAAAAAAATATGTAATGCTAACTGTTTAATATGTTAAATAACACACAAATTCGTGTTGTTTATGTAAATGGACTTCAATTCAGTGATATTTAAGTTTGAAATACAATTCTACTTCAGTTTCTATTCGGTTCTTATGGCAATGATTTAATTTCTAATTCTAATTTTTATTATAAAATTATTTCTACTTCAGTTTAAAATCAGTTCTGGTAAAATTAATTATAATTTTTTTTTGTAACAAAAGATTAAATGTATTGTTGGCGTAAGAGTTTGACATTTACATCAATGATACATTTATCTTTTTGTTATAAAAGCATGGCAAACAGGCCAAAGCGCACGTGACCAGATTGGTGGTCAGATATATGCAACAATAAAACTTCTATTCATTTTCTGATGATGATATTCAATTAATTAATAAAATTAATAAAATAATTCCTGATTTTAGTTTTCATTCACATTAATGAAATTGATTATTTCTGCTTCTAATTTTATTGAACATTAACTTAAATATCACTTCAATGTGCAATAGAATATAATTATATAAACACTAATTTTTTTGACAAATTTTAGAATAAAGCCTTATTTGGATAAAACCAGATGCAGTAAATTTGTTAAATAATCATAAATTTTTTGAGCTTATATTTAGAGGATGTTTTATGCATCATCAATGGATGTTCTATGTATAACCAATTAATGCTTTATGTATCAATTATGGAAAAAGAATTATAATTAAAAGAGATTTTGTGTTTTTGTTATAAAGCAAGATCTTTGTAAATTTGATAGTCATTATGAGAATTAAGATTTTTAAAGATCAGTTTTGTCATGTCTATTATTTTATTTTGTT